AGGATAAGGATAAGGATAAGGATTGGATTTAGCCAATAAAAGGGCGCGCATCTGGTAAAAAGGCATTGCAGCGCATGTACAAGAAAAATGAACATGAGGTACAAAGAGATACTGGAAAAATTGTATGGTGGGGTACGTACCCATGGTTTGCCCCACTTTGACTGTGGCTACTGCCGATTTATTACGCCCCCCACTGCCGATTTAGTGTTGCTTTTAAAAAAAATAATATTTAAAAAAAAGTATATTATTTACGCACAATTAAAAAAATTAAAAAATAAAATTATTATTATAAATAAACCGTAATATCATTAATTAAAGTTTATAATTAATTAATATTATTTTAATAAATTTAAATTAAAATTCGTTAAATTAAACTTACGTTTAATTACGTTATAAACGTTATAAAACGCTTGGTTTATATCATTATATTTATAAGTTTAAAATTTAAAAAAGTAATATAAAATTAAAATTTTAATAAATTTTAATTTAAAACATATTTAACGTATTTAATTATAATTAAAATAATTTTTTTAAAAATTAAACTTTATATTTATAATAATTTAATATTTAATAATAACGTATAAAATAACTTTTATTTTTATAATTTAAAATTAATATTTTACTTTTTTTACTTTTTTATTTTTTTTACATATTTATACGGTATTACGTTATAATATTATAAACTTTAATGTTTAAAAACACGTAATAATATTAAAAATATTATATTAATATTTATAACCACGTGTTTAAACTTATACATACATTTATAACCACGTATAAAATTTTTTTTTTTTAATTTAAAATTAATAATTTAATTATTTAAACTTTTTTATTATTTTACATGTTTATACGGTATTACGTTATAATATTATAAGTTTTTAACATAATATATTTTTAAAAACGTTATAATTAATATTATAACTAATATTATAACCGGTATTACGGTTAATTATTACTTTAAAACGTTTAAAACGCGTATATTTAAACGTTTAAAACGCGTATATTTATTAATAATAAAATTAATAAATATTTTAAATTAATTAAAATTTATTTTAAACGCGTTAATATTATTATTTTTAATATTATATTTTTAATATTAAACAATTAATTATGGTAAAAATCGTTTAAATTATTTTAAACCAAAAATTCGAGATTGTTTTTAAAGTTATGCCGGGGTTATAATTGGTTAAAAAGTTATGTGGTTAAAAAAAATATAACCGCATAAACGATCTCGAATTTATGGTTTAAATTTATTAAAATAATGTTAAATAATTAATACGTATAATTAAAACAATATTAATATAATTATTTATAATTTTATTATATGTTGTTATAATTATATTATAAAAATATAAAATTGTAAAAACGCATAAAACGTAAGTAATTATAAAAAAATTAAAGATTTTAAATCATATAATAATATTAATTAATTTAACACATTTTTTTTAAATATAACCGTAAAGTTAATTTAATTTAATATTTAATTTAATATGTTTAAAATAACCTTATTTTTTAAATTATTAACAATTTAATTTTAACTTATTAAACGTTTTTTTAAACTTTTAATAATTATTTAATACGCATTTTTTACTTTAAAATTATTTTTTCATTTAAATTTTATAATATTTATATATAATTTTATTAATTTTAATTAATTTAAATCTTTTTATATAATTTTTATAATAAAACTTTTTAATTATCCGTTTATAATTATATTTTTTAAATTAACGTAATTTAATTACATACGGTTTTTTTAACTTATTATTATAATTTATAATTTTTATATATATATTTTTTTTAACTTTTTAATAATTTTTTAAATTAATTAAAGTTTTAAATTAACTTAAGTTTTAAATCGATAAAAATTTTAAATTAACTATGTAATATATATAAAAATAACCTTTTTTAACTTTTTATACCTTTTAATAACTTTAATATATATGTTTAAAAAATCTTTTAATTATAAAATTATCGGTAATTATAACTTTGTTAATAACTTTAAATAAAGTTTAAATAATAAGTTTAAATAAAGTTTTGTTTAATAAATTAAATAACTTTTAATAAAACTTTTAATAAAACTTTATATAATATTAATTAAAATATAATTAACAAATTTAAATAAAGTTTTTTTAATCGGTTTAAATAAAATTTTATAAAAATTTTAAATAAAGTTTTATTAAATCTTTAAATAAAATTTTATTAAAACTTTAAATAAAACTTTATTAATAACTTTAAATAAATTTAATTAATAATTTAAAATAAAATTTTATTAAAACTTTAAATAAAACTTTATTAAAAACTTTAAATTAAACTTTATAATAACTTTAAATAAGTTTTATTAAAAAGCTTAAAATAAAGTTAATAATAATTTTAAATAAAGTTTTATTAAAGTTTTAAATAAAGTTTTTCGTTAAACTTTTAAATAAAACTTTATAATTTTAAATAAAACTTTATTAATAACTTTAAATAATTATAATTAATTACTTAAAATAAAGTTTCGTTAATAGGTTTAAAATAAAGTTTTTTATAAACTTTAAATAAAACTTTATTAATAATTTTAAATAAAACTTTATAATAACTTTAAATAAAATATAATTAATAGTTTTAAATAAAGTTTTTTTAATAAACATAAATAAAAACTTATTAATAACTTTAAATAAAATTTTATTAAAAGCTTTAAATAAAACTTTATTAAAAGCTTTAAATAAAATATTTTATAATATTATAAAATATTATTATTTAATATATAACTTTTTACCAATAACTTTAAATAAAACTTTAATAATAACTTTAAATAAAATCTTATTAATAAATTTAAATAAAAATTATTACTTTATAATATTTTAAGTTAATATTATAAAGATTTTAAAAATTAATAATTTTATTAATTTTTAACGGATTAATTTAATTAAATTAATTACTTTTACAATTTTTTATTTTAATATTTAAAAACTATTATAATTTATTATTTAATTTTAATTTAATCTTTAAATTTATTAACGTTATTATATACTTTTATTATTAAAATAAAAGGTAACTTTTTTAAATTTAATTTTAATGTTATTATAAATTTTATTTTAAATTATTTTACTTTTAAATAACTAGATTTTATTAAAATAACTTACGAAATAATTAAATTTCCGTTATTTTAACAATTATTTATTTTATACATTTTTTTAAATACGCTTTTATTGCATAAGATTTAATATTAAACAAAATATTAAAATTGTTTAATATTTTAATATATATTATTGTTATAAACAAAGTTATTAACGGTAATAAATTTTTAAAATTAACCAAATAAAAGTAAATTATAATTGTATAAAAATGATTAATTTTTAACAATATAATTATTATTTTACTTTTTTTTTACATTATTTATTCGTAACTTTAAATTTAACTTTAATACGTTTACATTTTTATAAATTTAAATTTATAACATTTGATTAAAAGTTTTAAATAAATTTAATAATTTAATATTATTTAACATTTCGTAATTTTTTTTTTAACTTTACCAAATTCCCGTATAATAAATTATTTTTATTAAAAATAATATATATATATAAAATAAAACTTATAAATATACGTTAATATATAATTTATTAAATAACTTATAAATTAAACAATAAAATAACTTAATTAATAATTTAATAATTAAATTATAAAATAACTTAATATATAAATTTAAATATAATTTATTAAATAATTTATAATATAAATTAATATATGGCTTAATAAATAAACTTAAAATAAAATAATAAAAAAGTTTAATTATAACTTAATAAATAAGTTTAAAATAATTTAATATATAAACTTAAATGTAATTTATAAAATAATTTAATAATTAAATTATAAAATAATTTATTTAAACTTTAAAATATAATTTTATAATTTATTATAATAAAATGTAAAAAAACGGTTATATTATATACATTAATTATATATATATTAAAATATATAATTATATAAAATAAAAAATAACTTTATTAAACCGTATAAAAATGTTTTATTAAATTGTAAAAATAAAATAATTAACGTATATTATTTTTAATTTTTACCTTTTAAAAACTTAATAACATTATTTTATATTTAAATATAATTTATTAAAAACTTTAATTTTATATGTTATTTTATATAAAAAAGTTTAATTTAAATAAATAATTAATTAAAAAAATTATCGAAAATTATTTCGTTTTAACAATTTGTAAATAATATTAAATATTAAAAAACTTATTAATATGTTATAATATATATTTTTATAATATTAAACCTTATAAAATATTTTTAAAAATAAATTTAATCGTAAAAATTAATAAATTTATTAACAATAATACCGTTTAATACTTTAAATAAATATAAAATAAATAAATAATTTTATTACTTTATATTTTATTCGGTTAAATATATAAAATTTACTTTTATTAACATTTTTAATTAATTTAAAATAAAATTTAAAATAAATAATTTTAATCATTTTTATTATTATTTTTTAAAATTAATTTAATTTTAATAATTTATAATTTATTAATAAATTTTTTTAAATATTATAATATAAATAAAAAATATTATTTTTTTAATAATTTTATTAATAATAATATTAAATTTATCGTTATTTTATATATATTATAATTAAATAATACCGTTTTAATTTAAATTAAATTTATAAACGTATAAAACTTTTAATTGTTAAACAATTAATACGTATAATTAAAACAATATTAATGTAATTACTTATAATTTTATTATATATTATTATAACTATATTATAAAAGTGTAAAATCGTGAAAACGCGTGGAACGCGAGTAATTACAAGGAAATCAAAGATTTCAGGTCACATGACAGTGCTGACTAATCTAACAAATAACTATTATAAGGCTCTGGCAGTGATTGTGACTTAGTAAGCCAAGTTTCTACTAGAAACGCGAGAGTTACTTCAGCACCGACCGGATAGGGGTATAGTTCCGCTTTTTAGGTATCCATTATATTTGCATCTTTCACTGTAAATATTACAGTTCCTATTTCACTCATACTGATTCGTGATTACTTAAAGGTAGAGTATGAGTTCAAGAAATGACTCGGCCTTTACCAAAATTGATACTCTAGCTCGCCTATACATTAGGAGGTATCAAACTACTCTGAAGTATGAGAACGTCCCGCCAAGACTCTTTGAAACCGTGAGATTCAACATCGTATAATCACAGCAATTATTATCTTCCTCATCTTTCCCGTTATGGGTATAATTAACATCTTGCGACAAACTCGAACATAGAAGTTCTCCAAATTAGAATTGTGATTGTGGTAATCCTGCATGTCTGATTATCACATTTCTCAATTATTAATGGCGACAATTGTGGTTAAGACAATTAATCTTAGTTTACGGCGTCTCGAACATATAACAATGTATTAGTAACTTAGGACTTTAAAGTACCCAGTCTTATAATAGAGACTATTTCCAACGCACTTCTCGCGAACTTACAGTGTGTACTCAACACTCATTTTAATAGGTATGGGGATGGCTTCCCGCCTAGCTAAAAACAGCACTAACAGCTCTTTTCGCATATCCTTTCACGCCGGTGGGCTTCGCCTTCTCAACATCATTCTTGTAAAACCTTCGCCCTTCGTCGAGTACGATGTGGTCGAGGTTGACCCACCATCTTCCGCGGTAATAGGCTCTGGCGCCAAGCCATAGTACAACGATGACAATGACCGAGATATAGTTAGCAAAGAAGGTTTGAGCACCCTGAGGGTCTGTAAGTGGCCAGACAGCGAGGTAGAACTGGACTATGATGAGGAGGATGCACATGGTCAAACCCCACCAGGGACCAACTGGGTAGATCCAAGACTTCCAGGGAAGCTCCTCAGCTGTACGTCCCTGTCTTGCCCAAGCGTGACGAAAACGGATGTGTGAAAGACAAATCATGCCCCAACCGAATAAGGTGAAGAGAGAGGTGAGATTTGAAAACCACTTGAAGACATCGGCGCCGGATTCGCTAACATTGAGGTAGGCAAGCCCACCACCAAGAACGAACGTAGGGACTAGACCCCACCAAGGGCGTCCAGTCCTGTCGGCCTTTGTGAATACTTTGGGTGCCATGTCTAGGTACGCCAACCCCATGGCCGTACGAGAACCACCGTAGCCTGAGATAGATCCAGTTGAGACGACCGATATGAGGATAACCGCGTTCATCATGTGAGCCAGAACAGGAATGCCTGCGTCGCTATAGGCAATGACGAACGGCGAAGAACCAGTACCGTTGGAATCAACACCGAAAAGGCGGCTGTTTCTAGGATCAACATTGATAGTAACCATCAACGATCCAACTAAGTAGAAAAGTGCGAGGCGGAGCCATATAGATCCGACAGCGCGAGGTATGGACTTTTTCGGATTGGCGGTCTCGGCAGCAACCAAGCCCGAGTTCTCAGATCCAGACATGGCAAAGATACAAGTAGGCATTACGGCGAGGAAGCCTTTGAAACCGTTCGTAAATGGGATCTCGTTCCAGTACCGAAAACCCACCGCGTCGTAACCTGCTCCTCCAGCTGACATGACGATCATGGAGATAATAACAACGAAGATCCAGCCAAATTTAATCGTACTAGCGACGACTTCGATTTCACCGAAGAGGGTAACGGCGCCGATATTGATCAGGATGATGATAACTAGCCATATGCTGATCCATCCTGCAATCGGCACACGGGTTGTCCAATACGTGATGACAGTATTCGCTGATGCCAACTCGTTCGCGATCGTGATACTACGATATTAGCAGTTGTTAGTAATTGGCATCCTAAGATATTGAGTGTTACTTACCAGTAACTGAACCAATAAGACCAGCCGAGGGCAAAAGCAGCGGCTGGATCGACAAATTTTCCTTTATTGCAATATTTATTAGTTGAAGCCGTCCATAAGGAATTTAGTTTATGAGTTTTGCACCTACCAGTCCACTGCACGAAGGCGGATGGCAGAGGATACACGCACGCCATCTCGCCGATGGAATGACTGACACACCAAATCATAGAGCCGGCGAGACAGTAGCCAAGGAAGATACCAGCGGGACCACCATTGGCCAACGAAGTACCACTACCAAGCCATAAACCCATACCAATACTAGAACCAAGTGCTATCATCGTCAAGTGACGCGTGCTCAAAGAGCGTTTCAACTCGGTGTCGGCGCCATGATCGCCACTATCGCCATTATCCTCGCTGTAAGGGTCACCAACGAACGAAGGATTCTTATCGGGAAGATCTCCGCTGCCCTTGTAGACAGCAGAAGGACTGGGAGAATCGTCGCCCGCCATTAATTATTGCGATACACCGTAGCACAAGACGGATGACTGGAATCGGGGTTGATAAGAACCTTAGAGTAGAAAATGGAGAAGGTCTTCTGGAAGGAGTTTAAATAGTAATAGAAGGTAGAAGGCGCGCACGTTGCTACTTATTAACTCTAAGTTGCGACGCCCCTTGCCAGTGCCACGTGTAACAACCGGTTGTAGTTGACTCTGGAAGGAGGATTCGATAAGAGAGAAACGAGGAAGTCACGTCCCCTGATTTGATGGAAAGACGAGTCATCACTTCCCCCTAAGTCTTTAGCTGAATTATTTAGCTGAATTATTTATCTGAATTATTTATCTGAGTAAAACATTAACAAATTACAATCATAAAAGGTCCGAAGACGAGGTTGACAAGGCATACCTCAGGCGCAGCATTGCCTTGTTTATTCGAGGACGGCTGAATTGTGAGTTGGTATTGGAACTGATAAGGGCATGACTCCGAAATGTCTTAGACTGGCTACTTAGACTGGATGGCAAACGAGAGACAGTGCGGTATCTGATGCACATGGTTACGAGATCGACGACAGGATTTACAGCTCAAAAGTCAAGCTTCCGAGCTGATCGGCAAGTTGTACAACACGCGTCCTTCGATTTAAACACCAGAAATACCAACAATCAAACCTACCTGTCTTATGTATTGTTTACTTCAGGTACCTAACCTATGCAATATACAATAAGGGTAGATGCACGATATATGAGTCTATATCTGCAAATCGAAAATCCTCAGGATACATACCTACACGTCGTACCGGAGTCAGCTGTAATACATACCTGGGCACAAGCATCAAAACCCCATGATGTACAACATCAACCACTGTGCACACGACACTCCTTCGATGCGGTATAACCCATCAGCCTTCAGCCATAAGCAGCACCAAGAGCCAGTCAAATAGCTGGAAAGCCATTCATTTTAATTCCAAGATCGCTAGGCGTCGTGGCTGAACGCAGCATCCTACGCCCTTATCGTAGCGAATCAATAACCTCGCTTTCCGTTTACCAAGTGCCTGATTTGACGGAGCGTTGCACATAAGGCTTGCTTTACCTTGATCGCCCGACTTATTAGAGCTATGTTGTCACTTAGGCGTTTTCTCGAAGTTCCACGCAGCTCTAGATGCCCTACAGACGCACATCGGGTATCCCGTAGCTGCGGTAAAGACCTGTTTCACTCATTTCCAGACCACATATATCAGGTGTATATGCATTATCTGGGTGTGTAGTCTTATCTCGAGGTGACACGTCGTTTCCAATTTGAGAAAGCCACGCCCTGGCACCACCAATCATGATTGTCCCATTCACGAGATAAGAACGTATATCTGGTTCCCGATACACCAGCGCCGCGGTGGCTCGCAAAATACCGTCAGATTCATATGATTCTTCGGAAGTTATAAGGTGAGAAACGCGAGAGGACCTCACCACGAGAAAAGACTCGTACGAAGTACATACCTACATATGATGGTGAGGTAAAATTCCATCAAATTCGTACTCACTCTTCGGATCCGATACCAGGGACCAGGTAGCCAATGAGACTCTTCATCCATATTCGCACGTTGCAAACGGATGCTACCGGATGGCATTGATTAGATCTGTACCAAATCCTGCTAGTAATTGGTAGTGATCCTTATCGACTTTGGATGGACTTGTTAGAGTAGTTTTTAAAAGACTCATCCATCGCCTTTTTTGAATTCTCATAAATGCGGACATATATATCTACTAGGTTAACGTTTTATTACGTACATAAATAGTTCAAGTTACAGACCTGCGGAAATAAGCTACCAATCTGAGAATCTTCTCAATGCTTATGTTCGTATTTTGCCGACGATCCTCGTACCCCCACTCTCATCGCTACTATGATTCGCTAACATTTTAAGCGGTTTCGCTCATAGGGCTTGCCCCTTTTTGCTCGCTCCGTAGTCCCATCTATTCTCAAAGGGAGCTTTAAGGAATTGAGAAATAAAGTCACAACGAGATGTTTTGGCGATTTAATGACAATTTCTCACTCGTAAGCTCTTATATGCCGACGAGCAAATAGACGAGCAAATAGACGAGCAAATAGACGAGCAAATAGACGAGTAAATATTTCATGATTATGGCTAATTTGGAAGGCGAGGATTTCTTAACTGCTTGGCGTGGGGATTTCGAGCCAACGGCATTGGCGCATGATTGCACGGGTCTGTTTCGATTATGATTTACACAGGGATGGGCTCCGATGAGCCCCTATCTCTGAGAGGTAACGACTTCAAATAATTCTTCGACTATATTAAAGAGGACGAGACGATGATGGCCTGTCTTGGAGTTCTTGGCTGGTATCCCTCTCAGCGAGAACGACAAGTCCAACTCCTCCAGAATGAGATCCTGTTACCTTCTCGCTACTTCGTTAGCTGCGAGCGCGACTACAGCTGCATTGGAAGTTGATTTGCCGATTTCAGCAAAATCGGGCGACGTCGAGTCAGACTCAATAGCCGTGTTCTACGATGATTCACAGCCCCTCATCGTTGGCAATGATGGTGGTGCCAGCACTGGTGGTATTCGCCTCTTCGCTTTGGACGGCGAAACCCCGTTGACAGAAACGGCCCACGAGACTCCTGGTCGAACGAAGCTTGTAACAGCCGTTCACGGGGTTGGCGAGAAGAACCTTGTCGTTACCATCGCTCAACCTGATTCCTTCTTTCGACTCTACGACGCAAGCACCGCCGAGCAAGTTGGTGAGCCTCTGGCACGTACCTTAGGAGACTGGTCAGCTCTCTGCTCTTGGAAGAGCCAAAGCAGCGGAGAGCAATATCTCTACTTGTTTGGCAAGAAGCAAACTGTGCAGCATCTCTTGAGGGAAAATAATGGAACTTACGAAATTGTCGAGATCCAAACCTTCGAAAACCCAATCGAGGCGACGTCGTGCGCCGTCTCTTTGTCTGCGGAGGCTGTATATTTCGCGGCGGATGATGGTCCTGAGATTTACACTTTTCCAGTTGCGGAGACAACTTCGGCGCCGCAAATCAGTGTTCTAGGAAAGGCTGAAGATGATGTTACGGCGCTTGCCGCTTACATTGGACCTGACTCGGACTACATCTTGGTTGCTGAGAACGATGTCATAGCGGTCTATAATAGTTCCTTCACGCAGTTGGGCTCTATGAAGATGACCACGGATGAGGACATCGAAATTAAGGGCCTAAACGTCTATCAAGCGCCGACAAAGAAATACCCAGCTGGCGCAGTGACCTATGCCACGAAAGGTGATTCTGGAAAGGGATTTGCTGTTAGTTCCTTGGAAGCAGCATTCAGTGGGCTAAGTCTAGATCTGAACACATCTTACGACCCTCGCGAGAATGCAAGTAGTTCTAGCTCTGTTTGCTCCGAATGCGGCCTCAACGGCTTTTGTCAAAACGGCACCAGCGACGCGGGTGAACTTTCGTGCGCATGCTTTGCAGGATTTGACGGCGAGGATTGCGCAAAGATCACGTGCCGTAATGACTGTTCGACGCATGGCGAATGTGTTGGAGCGAATATATGCCAATGCGAAGATGGATGGGGTGGCCTGTACTGCGCGTTCAAGGTAGTGCAGCCCGTTGCTGAGACAGATGCTCACGGCGGCGATGGAGATGATCCTGCGATATGGATATCGCCCACTGATAAGGCCCAATCGAGGATTATCACTACTACGAAATCAGAAGAAGGCTCTGGACTGAGCGTTTTCGATCTCAGTGGGAGGCTATTGCAAAGCATAGACGCCGGAGAGCCGGATAACGTTGACGTGATATACAATTTCCAGGCTGGAAATAGGACTATTGATTTGGCGTATGCTGCTTGTCGAACCGACAATACCCTATGGTAAGTCTCCTTGTAACTCATTCCAGTCTCTAACTAACCACTTTAGCCTCTTTGAGATCACTACCAATGGCACTCTACAGACCATAGCCGGTGGTTCGCAGCCAACTAAAGACGGCTATAAGGTCTACGGTAGCTGCGTATATCATTCGCGTAAAAGTGACAAGCAGTATCTATTCGTCAACGCCAAGTCGGCCGAGTATCTTCAATATGAACTCTCATGGGCTGATGATGCATTGCAAACTACCTTGGTGCGGAATTTCACTGGCGGAACTGGTAGTCAAGTAGAGGGATGTGTCTCAGACGACGCAAATGGATGGATCATCATCGGCGAGGAACCTCGTGCTCTCTGGCGCTATGGTGCAGAACCGGATGATGACTCTAGCGAAGGATTCCTTATCGGAGAAGTTGGCGATGGCAATATGTACGCAGACGTTGAGGGTGTGACACTGGTTGAAGGTCCATCGGCGGACAAGGGTTTCATACTCGTCAGCCAGCAGGGTGTCAGTGCGTACAATGTGTACCGTCGGGCTGCTCCTCACGACTTCGTCGAAACTTTCACGATATACGAGAACTCGGAGAAAGGCATAGACGGTGTAACTAACACCGATGGACTTGCCGCTGTGGGCGCGGCCCTCGGAGACGCATTCCCCAGCGGGCTAATAGTTACCCATGACGATGCTAACCAACTACCAGAAGGAGGCACAAGTAATGAAGCGAGCTACAAACTCGTTAGTCTCGGAGATGTACTTGGGGAGGAGTTGATGAAGGAGGTCGATGCCAACTGGGATCCTAGGGCTTAGCCGTTGAGAAAAGCTTCATTGACTAGGATCATAGAGACAAATCACGGGGAAGCAAGCAAAAGTATAACTAATGTAATAACAATCTATGAATTACCAATGATATACCTATACTATGTAAGAAAATATTACCATCCTGTTACAGCCAACTAAAAAACAACCCAGATAACTCGGGGGGAGAACTTGTATACAGTAATAAGTCTAGACGTCATGTTACCAGACAACCCTGGACAAAAGTAAACAACTAATGGCCAATGTTAATGAGGATGATGATAATAGGTAAAATGAAAAGAAAAAAAACAAAAACGCTAAGCTCCCCCATCCTCCAAAGTTATTCATTCTAATCGTTGCAATCAAATGCGGAAGTACCTCCTAAGAGGTAGGTACTTAAGGTATATATGTATGTCTTCCATATCTAGAAGTTAACCAACTTGCTCTTGACGCAGACAGCCTTAGACAGCGTCTGAATGGAGCCGCTGGACAGTAACTCGAGGACCTGCAGCGTGGCCTCGAACTCGCGCGTGATGAAGTTGCGGATCTCGATCGCGACGAGCGAGTCTAGCGGGTAGTGCGATAGCGAGC